ACACCAAAGTCTAAAACATCAAACCACGTTACAGAATTTCTTTGAACTGCAGCAACACATCTCCGTTCATCGAATTTAACTTTCCTATTATAAAAATTTTCGTCAGATTATATTAACAAATTGATAATAAAGCATATATAAAAAATGATAACACATTACCAGACTCCACTTAAACCAGTTAATAAATCTCGTTGGTGACGACCTGTCTTAACATCCCACATTCGAAGAGTTCCATCAGATCCTGATATGACTTTGCTCTCATCATGTTGGAAACATGTAATAGCACCACCAGAATGTGTTGTCAAAACATGTTTACAAGTTCCATCGTCAGGATTCCATATGCGAAGGCTAGAATCAACAGCAGCGGAAACAAGATAGTCATGAGAAAGATCGAGAAGACCGACAAGGGAAGAATGACCTACAATTAAATAATTGGTTAAAAATAGACATATAATATACATATACTAAAATATTAAATATTATTCATACCTTCTAAAGTCCATACAATTGTCCCATCCTCTAAACTCCATACCTTTACTGTACCATCCATACTTCCACTCATACATCTCTTTCGTTTTGCATCTAAAGCGACAGAATATACCTTTTGTGTATGTCCGATTAATCGCCAAAGGCATTCACCAGTCATAATGTTCCAAACCCTTACAGAACAGTCGTAACTTCCGCTTACTAAAGTGTTTCCAACTCCTGCTAAAGCTCGAATTGAATGCGAATGTCCCTGAAGCGTACGAACAAAATAAGGATTATTGTCCGTATATTGAGAATTGTCGGATGGCGATGACGGAATTGTAGGCTGATAATGAGGATCATTTTTTTCAAGGCTTGGCAAGCGCCAAACTTTTAAAGTGGAATCTCTTGAACCTGTAACTATTAAAGGAACTGGTGGTTCAACAATTGGTGGCTCATTAGGATTCGTATTAACATTTTGTGGCATTATAATTTGAAGACATCGAACAGTACTCGTATGCCCCGGGAAAACATGAGTGCAAATGCCTTTTTCAAGGTCCCA